TTAAAATTACAGTCATCTACAAGCTTTGCAAGTGGGAAAACCTGAAAAATCAACAGTGTATCAAATACTTGTTCTCCCCACTGTAAGTCAGAGCCAGCAGTACAACATACAACTGCTGCTTGTGCAGAAAGAGCTTTCATTTGGCTCAGTGAATAAATACCTAAATGGAAAGGAAGGAAATGTTCTCTATGCATAATTTACCCATTAAACATTTTACCTCTAACTCAAGCAAAAGGCATGCCATTCATTTTATGAATGTCACAGAATGACAAAATCTTACAAAAGTTGAATCAGAATATAAGTGTTTCACATACAGTCATTGTGGAAAATGTTCTTGCATTTGTGTAAARTTGACTGAAATGGCCTGCGATGCAATAAAAAAAACATCTTCCAGGGATTTACTCAACTCATTGCAATTATTTAAGCTTTCTGCTATCTTGCCAAACATCAATTCTTTGCCACTAAAACCTTTGATGCTCTATTTAATTCTATATACAAACCTCTGTCTCCATCTGGATGCACTGTGCTCAGTATTTATTCTGTTTAACCATACTAAAGTCTTTATCTTTACTATGTTTGCAAACAGCTAAGAATGCTTCAGAAGTCATCCGGCACTTTCAGGATGTTCTGCAGATTGCTTCTGAACAAATCTCTGGCAGTCTAATTAAGGCCTCAGAATGTGTTCGTTTGCTGCTGTTGCAACATGGAAATGTTCTGCCAAACGACACCAAATGCTGCTCATGAGGCACTTTATCCTTATKTTGCACATATTTTCTCTAACACAAAAAACTCCCAGACATTTTGCCAAGTTTGAAAGCTTATTATTGCAGGATGCTTTAAAACCACCTGAGAAGAGCAAGAACCCTTTTAATATAAAGATATATTTGATGAGGATTAAAGTRATTTTAAGCTTATAAACACTAAATCACTATGTCATAGAAGAAGTCAATTCCCAAAGTGAAGCCAAAAAAAAAACCCATTCTATTTGACTTCCATTTTTTTTTTCTTCAACTTTAACAGTAATGATTGCAGGTCACACTAAAACCACGTGTTGAACAAAATTCAATCAAAGACTTTAAAAATCTTCGTTGATTTGAGAAAACTAAAAATAACAGTTTAGCAGCTGGTATTTGAGGTATAGTGCAAAACTAAAACCACATTAGCAGATTCTGGATGACACCCAATCTTTCCTGTGATAATTAATGACAGAAGGAGAATCGGTTAATGGGTGAAATTCGCTCCTTAAAACAATCGGCTCTGCAGTTTGGTTGACAGATTGTCCATTTACAAAAGAAAAAAAAAACAGAAGTCTGTTGCCATCACTTTCTCCATATGGGCCAAATACTGAAACTCCTGAGTCAGCAAGAGAAGGAAGTACAAGTGGAACAAGTAGTTGTAAAATGATACAGCCTAAAGTTGGCTTTTCATGTTTAAAAATGTAAAAATAACAATAATAAAACAGTGGCAGACAGGAATATAAGGGGGAAATGAGGCCTTCCTGATCTTGAAAAGTCACAAACTTCCATCGATTTGACTTGACAATTAAAATTAGCCACACAAATGTTTGAAAAGTAACAAAGAGGTATTCTTGAGATGAGAGCAATTCACCCCATAATTGAAGAGGGCAGTTTAATTTATGTAGATTTCATCTGACTTGCCTCAGGTATTGACTTCCCTGTAAGCACGCCTCAGTCAATTTGCCCTTTGAAATCTACAGTTTGGTTTATTTGTCAGTGCTTTTGTATGAAAATTGTCGAGCACATCCAATCAATCGCAGATTTACATCCTTGGGGCACAAAGGCACAGACGTTTTATACTACTGAGAGTAAATACCTTGCATCATCTTAAAGAAAACAGAATAAAATGTACAAACTTAAGTTGTCTACAAGTCTGAATAATTATAACCAGCTGCATTAATGTTTGTTCAATGAAATACAAAAATTATAAGGACTATTATTCATTTCCAGAAGCACCACATGCGATTTTTTTTTTATTTGTTGTATATATTTTATCAAGATTTCTTTGTCTATTCTGCAAATTGGACACGAACAACTGGGTAGCTAAGACACAAAGATTAACACACACCCAAACAAAGGCAGCCTGGACACAAACACAGCATGCTGTTCTCATTAGTGTGAGCTGATAAACATAATTTCAATATCACCTGTTAATGAAAAACAGACCAATAACTTGGTCTCCCCATTGTGAGACCAAATAACATTAAACTATTATTTAGGGATAAATAACCTTCAAATTACGTTATTCACTGAACACAAATTAACTTTATATAAATAGTATGAAGCTGCTTTAACCTTTGTTTTTAATTAACCTTTAAAAAAAGATTTTTGACTAAATATGAAAGTATTTAAATTCCTGATTCATGTTATATGGAATTATGGGATGATAACATTTATGCATTAGTTTTTCTTGTTCTGTTTTTTGACTTCCTGACAAAAGCCCTGTTAAGATATAGTCTACTTATGGTAATAATGCTTAGTTGCTCTAATTTGAAGCTCATATTTTAAAGACGAAAGGGGAAAAATCTCTAGTTAGGACATTTTAAATTGTTCTGACCTGTATTTAAAAAGTACTAAAGAATGGTTTGATTTTGTGATCTGATTAGTTTTGCTACTGTGCACATAACATCTTTAAAATGGTGTTTTGMAGAAGTAGTGCCTGATATGCTCCGCAGTGTTAATCTAGGTTATACTTACATTCATGCTAGGATTCAAAGCTGCAGAGCACAGCATGTAGCTGAGGCTTGGAAATCAGGGAAACAAACCTCTTGAAAGAATGTGTGAGTTCTGCTGTTTTCCTAAATGAAGCACATCCATGCTTTACAACACTGGTACACACCCAGTTACTCATCCGTGAARACAAAATAACATCAAAGTAGTTGTCAGAGCAACGCAGTGTAATTTAGTGGGAGTACAAAATGGGTTTTGATTACAAGCCTGCGGAAGAATAGCTGACCCTCTTTTCAGGCACTGAGAATATGCAGTTGATCCACTCAGTTCCTCTGGCCCAGCAGAGTAATGAGAGCCTGACTGAACCAGTGGACCTTGGTCCCGGAGCTGTTAACCTCTCACAGCTTGAAGCACAACTGGCACAAAGGTTTCAAAATGAGAACTGAAGGTCCCAAAGGCCCTGTAAGTCATTCCAGGACTCTGCCAGCTGGAAGAGGAGTAATTAACACTTGAATGTTATTTTGCTCATTACAATGAAGAAAGGACTGATTAGTATGGACACGGGTCACGTCATGCAAAACAAATAGTTTAGTTATTCTGCAAATCACACCAGATGATAAAATTTGTACATGCAAAAG